TCGAACCGTCCTGACCGCGTAGCTCAGTTGGAAGAGCATTGGGCTAGTATTCCAAAGGTCGTAGGTTCGAATCCTACCGTGGCCGGGCATATTTTTCAAGTTCGCCCGGTGTGGATATGCACTCAGATTAACATCACAAACATATTATTCACCTGAGTGCACAACACCAGCACAGAAAAAATTCATATTCATAGTATGGAATGCTTTCTTCAAATCAAGAAAAACATCAAGTAATTTGCAAAGACTGCGGTTCATGTGGACATGCCATTCATTTGTGCAATCTAACAGTGTACTAGTTGTAGAAGGGAACTAACTAAAACGAAACTGATGTTTGAATTGAAAGTTCTTTTCACAAAATTAATAGTCAAATATTTGATCATACAAAACCTTTTCCATCAGTTTTCTAACCACTGTTAGAATTGAAATTGGCCTATAATTGTCCAACATAGACCGTTGACCTAAATTTGTTAAATAGTGGAATCAACCTTTCAGCTTTCCATTCTAATGGAAACTGATCTGAGACGATTGACATGTTAACAATTTTTGTCATAGATTGTGCAATAGCACGAGCTTCCACGGGAACAATTTTAGCTGAAATTTAATTTATCAATTCCTGCATGTAGTTAATGAGGTAGATAATTTGGTTATAAGCTTATAAACCGTTGCCACATTTACTGGTTGAAAAGAGTAACCAGCGACGGATTCCCGTTGAGCAATGAAATCCTGAAAACTACGATCATTATCATGTTCAATCGTTTCGGAAAGTTTAGCACCTATGTTTGTAAAATGATTGTTAAAAACATCAACACTCTCCCTTGTCGGAGTAATTTATTTCTGATTTCGTCCTAAAATATTATGTGTAAATCTGTTGTCTAATAACAGCAATACGGCATAATAGTCGCTAATGTTTTCCCAACATCAAGAATTTATGGTATTTGGTAATACTATAAAATTCTGAAATCAGAACGTTTCTATAAAATTAATTTAATCATATCTTCTTGTGGCGTGCCTGGAATTGTGTATAAGCCATTTTAATATATTGTCGACGCAGTAAACGAATACGTATAAATTTGAACTCTAGCTATAGGTCATCTTTATCGTCTTGCCTCAATACACGGCAAGGCTTGCACCTTAATCGCAAAGGAACTTCCGTTGTAGCAAAAATGATTTCTTTCTTTTTGACGGTTTTTATTGGGTATGAATACAAATACTGATATTACAAGATCGATTACTACAATAATAATAATTATTAATAATGTTAGCTTAAAACAAAAACAAATTCATCCCAAATGGTAGAGGTGCGAACGGGATGTTTATAAAAAAAACTACCCATGCGAGGCACCTCTCCGAACATACGTCACAGCGTCAATAATTCTTACAAGTAACAGGACAAAAATACAAAACAATTTATTACAATACAAAAACCATAAGACAGTCAAATTCGATCACAAGGACAATTACGTGGCATTGACCAGGTACATAACAAATTAACATCAAAAACAGAAAATATTAAATTAGGATAATGTTCATAAAGATAGTTTTTGAATGTTCTTAAACAAGAGAAAGTATCTGATGTAGCTGAACTGCAAACACAGTTCCACAGCTTCACAATTCGATTGAATTATGATGCCTGGTAGGTGGGTGTATTGCAGCAGGGAGTTTTGAGTATGAGGTTGGGATTGTTGCTGTGACGGGTTCGGTTGGGAGGAACAAAAGAAACATAATTGTGGACATCAAGGTTGGTTATACCATAAAGGACTTTGTAGAAAAAAATCAGATCTCTCATCTCTTGATCATAACACAAATAATTTCAATTTTGTCAAACGTTCACTGTAGCTGGAATCACCTTTACGTTGTCTCAACATACATCTGGTCGCTCGCCTCTGTACCTGCTCCAGCTTGATCTTTTGGGCATGGATGTGTGGAGACCAAACCTCGCTAGCATAGCATAGCTGCGATTTGACGAGGGACAGATACAGGGTGCGACGAACTCTGACATCAGTAAGGAGGGGGCATGTTCTTCAAAGTAATACCAACAGTTTGTTGGCTTTTGATGTTATGCTTTGAACTAGGGAATTCCATGACAGATTTCCAGTCATAATTACCCCAAGATCTGTTTCTTCTTGAACGTGATGGAGGTTGTTTGAACCAAGGTGGTAAGCAAAGGTGATGGGTTTCTTTTTGCGGGACACAGTTAACACTTTGCATTTAGATGCGTTGAATTTGATGTTATTGGTGTTGCTCCAGGTGGTTAGGTGTGTTAAGGTTTGTTGTAGATGTTGAGCATCGACCTCTGATGTTATTTTTCGGAAAGTCGTCGCATCGTCGGCATACAAGGGAGCATCTGAGTCTTCGGGAATGATATTCGGTAAATCGTTTATAAATAAGACGAACAACAAAGGGCCGAGTATGCTTCCTTGAGGCACGCCGGACGTAACAGAAGACCAACTTGAGGCAACACCATGAATGACAACTCTTTGTGTCCTGTCAGTTAAGTAGTCTTTGAACCATTCTAGAATGCGTCCACAGACACCAAGTTGCTTGTTTCGCCAAGATTATACCATGGGCAACAGAGTCAAATGCTTTTGCGAATTATTAATTAATTAAATAAATTATATCAGTGCTAAATAAATTATATCAGTACTAAATAAATTATATACGTTTGTATGTTCTTAGCAAGATTTTATCCAATCTTGTGAAGAACCTGTAGCATTTGTGTTATACATGATCGGTTACGCAGAAATCCATGTTGACTGAAGGAAATATAGGTAATTACATGGCCATAAAGTTGTTTGCATACAAAACGTTCCAGTACTTTAGCAATATTGGCCCGTAATTCTCTGCTGGTTCTTCCAAGCCTTTCTTTTGAACTGGTGTCAAGTTAGCTGCTTTCCACTCAACGGGCAGTCGTCCAACTCGTAAAGAAAAATTAAACAATTCACGAAGACTTGGTACAATACTACAACTACATTCTTTAAGAATGCGTGCTGCATGGTATTCCGTCCAGGCCACAGGTTTTTGTCGCATCTAAATTTCTAAGGTACAATTCATCTTCCTGGACACTCACTTGCAATTCGCCAATGTTCGGCACATTTGTGATATCTTCATATTCATCCTCGTCTCCATTGATTTCACTACTGTGTTTTGTAAACACCGAGGTAAAGAATAGATTAAGAAGCTCAGCTTTCTTAGCCGGTGATTTTGCCGTAACGCCTTGTACGTGATATTGGTGCTCTGTTTTGACCGATGATGTAATATGGCTTTATGGCAAGAACAGAAAACTACAGGATTAGTTGAGAAAGACTTCTCTGTTTTAGATAGATATTCTTTGTGTTTTCTTTTCACGAGTGACTTGACGATCTTACTAAGCTCTCTTAACTTTTGTTTTCTTGTTTCTTTTTCTAACTGTATTGGTTGTTGTTAGGAAATTGCCGATCGGGAGTCGAGCAGCTCTTTACCCGCATTTCGTTCTTCTAATTTAGAATCTTTTCATTCTATTTTATTCAGTCGTGGTCTCACAATTGCATGTTTGAATATGTAAAAATGGGTTAGGCCGCATTAATGAACTAAAAATATTTATGAAGAACTCTCATTTTATCCATTTATATTTTACCCATTAATGAAACCAGAAAGTTAGATTATTCTATTAGCAATAGTGAAATTTACCTTTCAGGCCCTGATGTTGTTAGACAAGATCGTAAGCTTAATGGCAGAAAGCGTGGAGGTGTAAAGGTGTTTATATATATACTTACGTAGTAAGCCTCTTTACAATTTTTTATGCGCTTTGTAGTGCGATTTTCTGCTTCTATTAGTTATGCATGTTCTGACAATATAAGTATCTTCATCGGAACATTCATAACCCATCCGCTCGTTCACATCGATTAGAAGAAGAAAATCACACTACAAATGGCAGCAAAAATTGCAAGTGGCCCATAACTCTCCCCAACAAATATTTAGCCTGCTTTACTGGAAGAAATTCTGAGTAAGATAGATGGCGAAAATTGAATTGAACACGCCAAACAGACCTATTGTCAAACACACCTATGGTACAACACACGAAATTCAGATACGTCTGAGCTTTTGAATATATTTGAAATTTACAACCTTTCACAAATAATTACAGAACCGACCAGGATAGCTGATAATATCACAAACAAGCTTAATCGATCTATGTAGTGTATTACTAACACTCCTGACAAAATAAAAACTTCCGGTGATCTTTTTATTGATATAAGTGATCACTCACTTGTTTACCTTATTCGGAAATCAACATATCAATGCTTTTAACGAAAAGAGAGACTTTCAAAAATTTCAATGAGCTAGCATAAATAAACGATTTTATTAATCTAAATTGGGATGAGTTCTGCATGCATAATGATTCTAATGATATGTGAACATAGATATCTTATATACACTAGATAGCGCATCTCTTTTAGTAAAATTGAAGCCAAGAATATTCTAGCGGTTACCCCCATTTGAATAGATATGGTCGTTCCCACTTGCTAATAAACGCTTAAAAACAACAATAACTTTCATCATTTGAATAGTTTAAAAATGTATTTGGAATAGGTTTAATTTAATGTTTAAGTTCCCTGTTTAAGAAATGGAAAACAATGGAAAATCTTCTCATTTCATGGGAACGACCTGAGACTGTAATTACGGCTTCAATTTTTGAATTGCAGAATAATTAGATGCACTATCTAGTGTATACAAGATATCTATGTATGTGAACAGATTGTACAAATTTGTTAACATCTGTCAAGGATAGACATGCGCCACTAAAAAATAAACGTTTACGTGCAACAAAGTCTCCGTGGATTACCTCACAGGTAATTTAGAAAATACGCTTAAGAGATTATCTGAAAAACAATTCGATATTACACGTGATGAAAAATGTGGTTGCAATGTAAGAAAGTTTGAAACGAAACTAATAACATTTTTAGGCAAGCTATGCGTAACTCTTTTGAAGCAAATATTGAGATTGTACAAAAAGAACAAAGGAAAACTAGGAGACTCGTTAATGATAACTCTCGTAAAGCGAGTGGAGTGGCCATTAAAAAAAAAGTTCACCTTGACGGTAATGAAGTAATCCTCTTGGCATTTCAGACGCTTTTAACTCATCTTTTACTTCGATAGGTGAGAATCTTGCGAAAAAATAGTTCTTATACAGATCCATTTTCTTATTTTCAATCCACAAAACAGTTTTTTGTTTTAATTAAATAATTTATTTAAATTTAATTAATTTAATTAATTAATTAATTATTTATTTATTTCTCACCACAAGCCAGTCGCGTCGTCCTTTAGAGGTTGACGGCTAGAAATTTCATATCCTTCGGTTCAGTGCATTCTATGAAGACAGAAATACACCATTCGATTCAGAAATAAAAGATCAACTAATTCCAAACGATAGTTATAATCATTAACAATGTAGCGATATATGGGCCTTTGAAAGTCAAACGCAATCGTAACGATCAAATTACGCAATTGTCTGAACAAAAATATAGACTAGCCATACCATTCGCCGAAAATAACTACGGCCCCTTCGAACATATCGTCTTTGTAATAGACTTGTACGTGAAAACAATGCGACGTTTGTATCGCGTGACTCTGCAAATGCCAGAAATGGTTGTACAGGTCAGATTGCACCTATACACGCGTCAGTTTGACGTCATCCCGGCCACAGGGGCTTCTTATTGGCCAATTATTGCGCAATGTACGCACGTGCGAGTAAAACCCGACATCTTGAAAAATTCAAAATAAATATTTCTACTCGCCGTATTCAAACGAAATTTTGTACACGAAAGCGCTTGAGTATAAGGAGTATTTCACTCCGATTGACTTTTCGGGAGTTCTGAAGAGTTCAAGAGATATTCAATATTTTCTCGATATGAAATTTAGAATCTTTGGCAAAGCGGTGAGTAAATATATGATTATATCGGTTTGTGTAATGTTTTGACGTCACTAGCTTGACCCCCGTTTCGAAATGCCATTTTGTGAGGATTTCAATGGTGGCTTTTATTTAAGAGGGGGATAAATACTCGCCGAGATATTTACATAAGAAAAATTGGGTCGTAATGTAATGCGAAACCGGCTGGTCGACAAAGAGATGAAATTGGTACTTGCACTATTATTCGTTTCCTAAAACGATTAATGCTAACAAAGCTACAGGTCTGATAATATACCATGTAGATTATAAAAAATAGCCGCAGATATTTGTTCACCCTCTTTAATTTAAGATATTTAGCACATCGCTTTCTGAGGGAATTTATCCGACTGACTGGAAAATGGAAAGGGTCTTAGAGCTTTTTAAAAGTGTCTAAAAAAGTGATTTTCAACAACTTTGAGTCAGTAAAGCCCATCGTATGAAACAATTTTCCAAATATTTGTTTTTGAAATCTTGCTTGTCCCACTTCAGGCTAGGAGCCATACGTTTCTGATCAGTGAGGAGGTCCGCTCATGACACCATGAAACCCATGCGCCCACGATTATTAATAAAATTTAGAATTTGCTAATGCTTTCCTTTCCCCAGGTGAAAATAGCCGATGACGGGTATTTTGGTATTTTGGTAACTTGGTATTTTGGTATTTTATATAGCCAACACCGTATATGCTTCATGCCTGGAGGCTTTAGTGGATAACAGGTAACTAAACTTAATATTTGCCCACTTATATTAATTTGGGCACCCCCAGGCAACTGTGTTTCGAGGAGTTGCGCCAGGGTAGAGAGAGAATTCCCAGGTCATCGCCAAGTATTACCGTCAGGTATGTATCAACACTTCGCACACCGGAAATCGCGATTTTGTATTTATACACAATTATATAAACTCGAGCGAGGAAGCCATTTCGTGCATGGTAAAGAGAAACATTGCCATTTCGTGCAAGGCAAAGACAAACGTTATGCAGTCTTTCGTGATTAAATCGATTAATTCGATTTTAATTAAATAAGTTCAAAATTCATATTCATATGACATCAATTTTTTAGCCGCTGGTAGGAATGAACGGGTTTCTCGTATCCCGGAAATGTTTGAAGCATTAAAAGCTACAAATCGAGGTGACCATTTTGATATCGAATACAACATACTTGGAGTAACATAAATTTTGAAATTGTGAAATTACTGACTTGACCAAATATTTATGGTGTGCAAGTACCCCAAGAAGACAAGATATTTGAAAGACGAAATAAAATTTTCCTCCATGTTTCAATTTTTTGTGAGCAGTTGGCAAAGATAGTCAACATTTGTACTATATTATTGCAAATTGGAAAACAAGTTACAAAAGTTTAAAAATTGACCAATAAAGTTAATCGAATGAATTTTGGCAAACTTTGCAGCATATAGTCGTCTATAGATCCAGCTCGTCCAGAAGGTGAATCCCGATAGGAGTAGTAATATTTTTTAATATTTAATAATATAATATTTAATAATTATTTTCACATCAACAAAATCCCTAAAATATAACGGTGAACACGAGTATTTTTACTAAACA